ATCTTCGAAAGGCCCGGCAAATCAATCACCTGAAAAAAAATATGATTTTTTACAAAAAATAAATAGATTAAATAAATAAATAAATAAATAAATAAATAAATAAATAAATAAATAAAGTATGAATTTATCTCGTCGATGCAAAAAGAGATGTGAATCCGTCACAGTCACCGTTCCAATCCCCGATTGTAAAATTCACTGCTGGAATTTGCTCAAAACCTGATTGGAAGCTCGTTGGAATCCCGAACCCACCTGAATTATCATAATTTCCGGCCACTGGGAAAAACCGTGGAACCTCAGGCACGTGCTCCCCAATCAATTCAATTATGCTTTGTGGGCCACAATTCTCTAGTGTCCCACCCATGACCTCTATTTCCGGCAAAGAATTGGCTGGGAAATGCGGCCTCCTCTGACTCTCCATTTTCCGGCTCCCCTCACCGGAAACCTGCCTCGCCTGGCACGAACCATGGTCGCAATTCTCCTTTCCGGTGAGCCTCTGGACAATGGCCATAAACTCATGGGGCTCTGCCTTTATAATTCTTGGAGCGTAGGTGTGTATTATGACCGGCTTTCTATACTGTGTTGTTGTACCCGGTAGTCCAGGCCGGACTATCGTAGACGAGACGGGCACTTCGGGCAGTGGCGAAGGCTTCTTTATGCGATGAGACTCTCTATGTATACATGTGAGGGAAGGCTGCCCGTCAGGTAGAACGGGCAGGTTGCTCCTTGGGGACATACACTTTCTCTCTCTGGAGTATGTAAGGAGTGGAGTATATAAGGTGAGTACAATTTTATATACATATGGTAGGCCAACAAAGAGCGCTTATTAGAGGCCGAAAGGAATTATATAGGAGTGGGACCCACCCGAGTGCAATGAATGGTGGAGACGAAATAGGAGATCACAACAGATATTTCAGATGTGGACGCGTGGCGATAGCAGAATAGAGGCGTACGTTAAACAACACGCTAAATATGGAGAGAGCTTTCTTTGTTTGGTAAAAGAAATGCGGAGGAAGCTTTAGTTTTTTTTTTTTTTTTTTCTTTTTTTTTTTTTAATCCAAAAAAATAAAAAATATTGATTTTGATTTTTTTTTGGGAAAATCACTGCGGGCCCTAAATTCATAAATTTACATAAGGTATTTGTACCATATGCGTTAAACCGAACGCTAAATATGGAGAGACCTCCCTTTGTTGGGGCAAATATTCAGTCCATATATATTTTTAATTTAAATTTTTTATTTGGTCATCCAACATAGATGGCAAAGTCAAGTTCATAAATTAGAATAAAGTATTTGTACCATATAATGAAGTTTAGTTTTTACTTTATAGTGATGATATTTTGAAGACTTTTGTGTTAGCGTGCTCCCATTGGAGCATATATTATACATGAACTCCCTCGACTACGATAACTGCATGGGACTATTTTTTTGCCTGAAATTTCGATATTCATCTACAAATCACCAGGTGATTATTTTCAAAAAGATATTTATATTTTGAGTCATTCAACACCTAAATCTTGCCCTTCAAGCATTTTACAATTACTGTTCAATAAAGTGGAAGGGGGGTTTTGTGACTGGTAGGCATACTATTTGTATTTTTGGGGGAAAGGGAATTGTGTAATTTTACTTGAAAATTCTTTAAATATGGGGAAAAGAAATATAAGTTTGCAACCTTATTTTTTGAAATAAGGTTTCATTAATCTACAATGTCATTTTATTTAGACGGTGTATAAGGTTCCTATTTTAAGATTTTTTTGCTTTTTATTTTGTTTCCTATATTTTTGGGCTCGTCAGGTGGTTTGAGCTCAATATAGATCTCATTTTCTCCTAATTTTTAGTTCTTATATCATTAGATTGGAAGCTTAGAATGCTGATTTTATTTATAGAAATTCAGAAAAATTATTAATAAGAGATTGAAAGGAAATTACAGAATCCGAGATTCTTGTCTGAGTTAAAGCTGCACCCCCTTTGGAATAGACTCTCTCTCCCTTATACCTTCTCTCTTATTAGAACATTTCTCTTTCTCTATAGATAATGATATAATTATCACGTGATTGTTTATCTTAATGACAGTTCTTACTGTAGTTACTTGTAAATTAAACAATAACACGCACTTAACACGATACTAACGGCTTTTACATGCAGCTGTAATATTCTGTCTCCAGATAACCACTCGGTTGGGTGTGTGTACAGCTGCAACAAACCAAAATATTTCAATTTTTTAACGATCTTCAAAAAAATTATTACGCGTCTTTTTAAAGAGTATTGGTTTTGGGACGGGCCCTGTTATTTATATGTATATTTTGTTAAGGAAAATATTTATATAAAGTCGAGGCTCTAAACAATCAATTTAGGGCGCACCTCAAAAATTCACTAAAAAGGTCATTTTGAAGTCCAAAAACCTTCAAATTGACCATCAATATATCTCAAGATGTATGGATAGGAGAAAAAATGGATTTCAAGCATTAGAAATAGTGTATCTTGTAATGTATTTTTCCGACTATCAATTTTCAAGATTTTCAAGTGTTCATAGATCTACTCGATCAGCTACTTTTTGAAGTTAGAGATGAAAACAAATTTTCAAGCCATCAAAAAAATTTTCAGTATTAAAACAATATCTTTCGGCACTATTTGAATGTGCGCTTTACTTTTATTGTTTAGAGCCTCGGCTCTATACGAACCACATTAAAAGTTTGCACTCAAAATCATGAGAGACGTAAGTATGCAAAGGATAGGTTTGTATAAGGTGTCAACCTTTAATGGGAAGTACAATTTCGGTGTCATAAAAGCCTTTCAATATTATGAAAATCTATGGTTTCCCCCAATTAAGAGATTTAGAGTTCAAAAAATAGGGACCACCAAACAAATCTATAAACATTTGGAAATCTTGAAAATAGACGGTCCAAATAATGTGTTAGAAAATGACCTGTTTTTGGGACTAGAAACAGTTTTTTATATATATTTGAATCTCGAGGTCGAGAAGAGTTATTTGAGGGTTTTCCAGCATAGTAACAACCTTCTCTCGTGGGCTTTTCTGTGTACTTTACTTGTACAGTAGAAAGTTGACACCTTATACAAACTTTTTCCATATTTCAAATTTTCTTTTAAAAATATCTAGTTTTGGTACATGAAATTATATAATATAATTTCTTACAATATACACAACTTTTAGAACTTAAAAATCCTAAATTTTTTTCACAACTAATATGCTCAAGATGATCAATGTAAAGGTTTTTCAATACTTGAATTGTGATTTTCAATGAATTATGAGGTAAGGTTTTACTTATTTTGATAGGTCTGCAGCCCTATCAAACCATTTTCATTATATAATTTTAAATATTCTTTTAAGGAAAATGGTTTAATAAGCCTCTAGCCCTATCAAAACATGTAAAGCCGCCCCTCATAACTCATCAAAATTTGTAATTCAAATATTGAAAAACTTTTAAATCCATCATCTCTGCTTGAACATTATGATTGTACAAAAAAATTAAGATTTCCAATTCTAAAAAAGTGTATATTGAAACAAATCATTTAGACCATCCATTTCACCCTAAAAATAAGTATTCATAGATCTACAAGATCTAAAGTATTTGTTGAGTTTTAAATTTTATTGTCGTTGTTGAAAATTAATGTTAGAGCCATTATAAAAATTTCCGATGCAGAAAGTGCTTTCCAGATGAGGATTTAAGGTGAGGCTCTATTTTGTTTTCATAAAGCCTAAGCCATATAGAAACTTCATCCTTCTTTTAAAAAGATCTTTTAAGACCACACCTCGAAGTCCTAATGCGCCAAACAAATTATTTTTAATATTTATTATTTGAATTGTATAAATTAAATTTAATGAAAAATATCTCTTTACCTTTTATTTTTTATTTCTATTTCTCATCAAACTCAAGGTTTGAAAATGTTACTTGTAGCATAAATCTTCATTTTTCTATCTTGCAACCCCTATATTCCTTTTATCATTAATTTTTTACCCACACAAATACTAAAATGATACCTATTGCTCAAAACACACACTCTCTCTCTCAACACTCTATTTCTCTCTCTAGTTCCCAATGTTAACCCTCTCTACATAATCACTGTCACCTCTCTCTTTAAAAATAAAACCGCTCTCTAAAAAATGGAAAGCACATCTATCTCTAGAATCATTGTCTCTCTCTCTCTCAAACCTCCATTTCTCTCTCTGTAATCCTTCCATCTCTATAGTTTTAGGGTTTTTTTCTATCTACAATCCATCCAGCTTGGTTAGGTTTTGATATGTGTGTAACCTCTACCATTCAGGTTTTCCTTGAATTCTTGCTTGTGCTACTTGCTAAGAAACTGCTGCATTTCTTTTAAAGTTCTTCGATTTTATCAGTCCTCCAATCATCTCCTTGTCTACTTTCTCTTCTCTCTCTGGTAGATCATTCAAACCTTCTCTCTCTGGTAGTTCATTCAAATCTTTATCTTCTCTTAAGCATTAGACCATGAATGTCCATTACCACTGCCATTGGGAACATGGTTCTTCCCTATAAAAACAAAAGACGGTCAAATAATGTTCTCATTGGTAACATTATTCTTCCCGGTAGAAACAAAAAACAGCAAAGTGCCCTGTTCTATATAAAGCAGCAATGGAATTATTTTAAAAGGAACATGAATTCATGCATTTTTATGAAAGAGAATAAATGTGTATGAAGTTGGAGAAGCTTTTGAAATGCGTGTTGCAAAAATTATAGAGAGAGAAAATCCTTAATTCCGTAAAAGAATTGGAACCTTGGGTTCAGCCATTGTTCACGATGAGCATCGACCTTGCATTACTTTAGTTTTGCTGATCGATGAACCTGTGCAAAACAAGAGAGAGAAGCCATAATGATTTGATTTCGCCATGCATAAAAGATTTATAGAAAGAGAAAGAGAAGGCCCGAGTTTGAAGATGGAGAGAAGATTATGGAGGGAGAGATATATAGAGAGAAAGGGAGAACCTTATTCTTCTTGGGGTGGATGGTTTTGTCATAGTTGCTAATGGGGATTTTGTCAGAGTTGTTGATGGGGATTGAAGCGGAAGCCATTGTTGCATCTCTGAAACCATATCCAATTACAAAAAAAGCAGCAACTAAACAAAACCTATTCTCTCTCCTCTTTCGTTCCTCAAAAGGTAACACAGAGAACTTGAAAAAAACAAGAAATTCAAACACCTATATACCCTTCTCTTTAAAACCTCTCCCTTTCTCTCTTTAGAAATAACAGAGAGAACGTGAGAGAAAACATGAAATTCAAAAACCCAATTACCCTTCACTAGGCCTTTGCAATTTCTCGCACCATTAAAAAATATCACATTGCTTTTCCTTTAGAAATGTCTAGAGAGAGAGGGGAGTAGAGAGAAAAGATGATACAACGGTGGAAATTGTACCGCCCACAGTTCCAATGGTATAGGTCATGCGGACAGTTTTTATTTAAATCTTGTTTAGCAAAATGGATTCTAATCAGACTATATCTGTTGTTGAGAGAGAAGAGAAAGAGACAATATAGGGTAGGTCCATGCACTTTGGGTATTAGAGAGAGAAAAATTGAGGTTTGAGAGAGAGAGAGAGTGATTCTTGAGAGAGAGATGTGTTTTGGGTTTTTTAGAGAGTCTGTGATCTTATTTTTAGAGAGAGAGAGGAGACAATGACGATGTAGAGAGGGTTAACTTTAGGCACTAAAGAGAGGAAAATGGAGATTAGAGAGTGTGCTTTGAGAGATAGGTGTCATTTTAGTATTTGTGTGGGTCAAAAATTAATGATAAAAAATGTATAGGGGTTGTAAGATAGAAAAAAATGAAGATTTTATACTACAAGTAACATTTTCAAACCTTGGGTTTGATGAGAAATAGAAGTAAAAAATAAGGGGTAAAGAGATATTTTTCCTAAATTTAAAAGTAAATGTCTATATAGAGTCAATGCTCTAAACAATCAAATTAAATTACACCTCAAAAATTTCACTAAAAGAGGTATTTTTTTATGCCTAAATATTCATAAACACCTTTGTTTGTTAAATTTCGAATTGGATGGCTTTAAGTTTCATTGAATTACTGAATCATTTGTAAGCCATGGTTTTATTCTTATACATGCACAAAGTCCTAGTAGAATTACGGTTTTTCTTATTTGATTGCGCTTTTTTTTTTTTTTTAAAAAGGTTTTTAAATTATAAAAATTAAGTTTACCTTTTAGCATAAATATAAGAAACTAATTAATACTATAATAAATATAAAAGAACAATAACAATTAAAAGTAATAGAAACTAAAAAT